TTACGATTACTCTCCACCACTCACCTTAATACACAGGGAATCCCAAATTTGTCCCCAACCAAATGCATCTATCACCAAGTTTTATTTGGAAGGGCTTCTAGGAAATGACTTTAAATTTGAGATATTAATATTTGCAGGATGATTTCACTCTTTAAAAGACACACAGAAACACACAGAGCCTTACCAAAACTAGAAGTTTGTCATTAAGATTTCTACCAAGCAAGTACTCTACTGAATTCAAGTTCCCTTCATTCATATTGTTTTATAATGTAATCTCTGCTGCTGCTCTGAGTAAACAAAGAAAACATTCATCATAAGAAATTGCCCAAAATCAGGTCACTTTGCATTGTTTCATTCCCTTTCAAGGAAGACAAATTTGTACTTTCTTGCTCTATATTTTTTTCATTAATAAAACATTATACAGGGTAATTCTATACTGCCCAGAAGATACTGGATTTTGAGATAGAGAAGGTTGTAAAGAAATATGGAAGGATTAACTACTAGGGAAGTAAACTTCACCAGTTTCTTGGATAACAGAACGTGGACTTTCTTATGGACAAATTGTTCACCAAGCACTGTCAATAGGTTGCATAGGTCTTTCTTTTTTGATATAGTCTTTAAGAACAAGATTTCTACTACTTTCCTTATCATCAATAGTTTTTTTGTTTTTTTTGAGACAGGGTCTCCCAGTAGCCCCAGCTGTCTGTCCTGGAACTCACTATGTAGACCAGGCTGGCCTTGAACTCACAAAGATCCACCTGCCTCTGCCTCCCAAGTGCTGGGACTAAAAGCGTGTGCCACCAGGCCCGGCATCAACAGTTAAGACAGATTCAGGACTAACTTTTAAAACCATTACCTATTCCCCCTACATACAAGTACACATAAAGACTTGTAAATGGTAGAGTTATTTACTACACAGATCATTTTCCCAAGCAGGCATTTAGTTGTTTGAATGCTTAATTTACAAAAAAAAAAAAAAAAAAAAGTTATCTAGCCAAATATTGGTAGACCCAAAGCACTAAGAGGAAAAAAATTAAGACTAAAAGAAAACTATTGTTTTTAAAATTGGCTGTAAGATAAGTTTCTTATACAGAGTAATTCCCAACCCACTTCTATAGCTAAAAAATACTGAATGTTCTCTACTGCATACATAATGTTTGAGAGTAAAGCATATCATAAATATAAGCTATTGTATACATCACTGCACATTTCTTAGAAGTCTAAGTCTAATAGGTCTAAATAAGTGGTATTGAAAAATATATAACAAATCAGTAAATAAAAAAATCTTTCTGAGCATTTTTGCTATTAACCTCCATTTCCCTTTGTAAATGTTTTGAAATGTGTAACTAAGAAAATTTTTACCATCTAGTTAGTAACACTGAGCAACAGGTCAAAAGTAAATGATCTGGATAAGTCACTTTAAGGGCACAGAACTAATTACTATTAGTAGCCTCTTATAAAAGTAGCAAACAGCAAGATATACTCAGTCATCACACTGTGTGGAAGTGAGTGACTTTGGTTAGTTAACTCTTGGAAAACCTAAGTACTTAACAGAAGTAGGATGTGAAGTATTGGAGACCAGGGGAATACTACAGGAGCAAATGCAAGTTTCAACAGAGAAGTGCCCTTGACTACATTTTAAAAGCCAGCTACTTGAAAAAATAGCCAGAGAAATTTTACTGAAAAAAATAAATGACAAGTATTTATTGAGTATCTACTATGTGTCCAATACTTCAGGGAATACAAAAGCATTATGACTTAGCTGCTGCCCTCAGGGAGCTTACAATCTAATTTGAGAAACATTTCAGACATTCTAAAGTAAGACTGGGATGGATAAGCTTACCAGCTCTAAAATAACAGAGCATTGCATTTCCTAGATGCTTTGTTGAAATGACCTGTGTCCCATTCTCCCACCTTCAATCTAATGAGGGGCCTTTCCCACTTAGCACCAAGGTGCTTTTACAACTACAAAAACAAAGCAGTACATTTTTTAACTCTTTCATCCCTATTTTACACACCAGCAGTATCCCCATTCACAACAGAAACAATCATTGGGACAGTCTAGTATTTAAAGACAATGGTTCAGGACCTCAAAGCAGTTTATCAACAAATACAAAGCCAAAATGTTCCAATTCTCCCGTAATACTGGTTGTCACTGACCCCCATCCAGTAAGTCACATCAGGTATCCCCAAAGCAGAATATGAAAGAGGAGACAAAAAGGATTTCTCCATTTAATAATCGGGGTGAGTCAAAAGCAAAAACGTTAGCAATAACAAAATCGCCTGTTACTGTGTTTTTCTTTCCACAACAGCCTACACCAGAGGTGGCTAAATTTCAAGAATGGAAAACAAGCAGTCTCCTATTCGTGACATCAGTTTGCAAAGCAATTTAGTGGCAGTCCAGAAGATGAAATGTCTTAGGAAATATGGAATTCCGTTTCCATTATGAAAAAAAAAATGAACAAATACCCAGTGATCTAGTGACGTCCCTGAGGCGTAATACACCCCACACGGGCCTCCGTGTCCAGCTTCCTAAATAACAATTAATTGTTTGGGATACCCCAAACTACAGTACAGACAACAGGAAGCTAAAGAGAGCAGCAAAAATATATTCGAAGAGCAGAGTTGGTAAGAAGGAAGGAAGGGTAATAAGAAGAGCTGACAAAGAGGCTGAAAACGAACAGAGGACGGAAGCCCACGCGCGGAGGATGGGAGGCTCACCCCCCTCCGCGACACATCAAGAGCCCACGGGGCCAATCGCCTCCCTACCTCCCACCCGGAACAAATTAATCCTCCGCACTCCAAACTGAGGGCCACATGGGGGAGTTTGGGGCAGCTCCACCCCATCGCCCTACACCCCCACCCCCCACACCAGGCCGGATCCGGATCCGAGGCCCGCTGGGGCTGGAAAGGGAGGAGGCCGCCTCCTCCAGCACAGGCCACGGTAGCCAGAGTCCTACCTCCAGCCAGGGCCCAGACTCGCTCGCTCGCGCTCTTTCTCACTCCCCCACCTCAGGCTCTAGCCGCATGCCCCCCCACCCCTCTCCG